GAGCCTTTAGTCCAGACGACTTTCCACTAACACTGCTTTAAAAAGTTGTCCATGCTATTGTGCCTGTCCTGACCTAAAAAATATTAATAATAAAAAAAAAATAATAATAACAATTTAGAAAATAAAAAATAAAAATAAATAAATAAAATAATAGTAATAATCACTATTATTATTTACAGGGATATTTCCAAATATCTTACAAATTGCAAAAGTAATCCCAGTATTCAAAGGCAGTGACAGAATACGCATTCAGAATTACCGTGCAATCTCTTTCTTACTGTTTTCAGCAAAATCCTTGAAAGACTTGCTTTTAAAAGACTTGATGAACACTGTCAGATCAATCAAATGCTAACAAATCCACAATTTGGCCTTTGTAAAGGAAAATCAACAGAAACAGCACTTCTACACTTCACAAATCTTATTCTACATTGTTTTGATAAGAGATTTCATGATAGGCATATTCTTAGATCTCAGTAAAGCTTTTGATACCGTGGATCATGATATTCTGTTGACAAAACTATGCTCTCCTGCAATCAGAGGAATTATACTTGAATGGCTCATATCATACCTATCAAACAGATCCCAGTATGTGTATTTTAATAAATGTAAGTCAAAAGTTATGTATGGCATCCCTCAGGGATCTGTTCTTGGTCCCTATTTTTGTTCATATATATTAATGAAATAAAAGCAGCAGTCTTCTAAAGTTTACCCTTTTTGCTGATTACAGTAACTTTTAAGTGAAACAGACCTTATATCCCAGATAGACATTGCCAACCATGAATTTAAATTTGTAGAAAATTGGATAAACAAACTCACTAAAACTATGTGATATCTAATACAAACAAAAATATACCAGATGTATTACCCTACTTGTACTTAAACAATAGCAAACTCAGTCAACAAAAACAGACAAAGTTTTTAGGCATTACTATAAATGATAAACTTAGCTGGAGCAGAAATATCACGGCTGTTAACAGAAAAATGCAAAAACATTGTGGGATTTCAAACCTTGTCAATAGCTGCCTCATAAGCAAATCTTTGGAACTTTTATCCTAATGCCATATTGCGCGGGGAGGTCATTTACAGAATATGTTGCAACTTCTGTTAATAACACAAAAGAAATTGATACAAATCATAAGGAATCTCAGGAGGAATGATCATACGAACCCATTATTCATTCATAACAAAATGTTAAAGATACATGAGATAAATATGTACTGCAGAGCCATGTTTATATACAAATTAATCAGTGCTAATAACAACCTCTTTGAATTCTGTTTGAATGGTCAATACCTCCTGATAAATGTAAATCTTCAACTGTCCCAAATGCAGAGGCTTGTCTCCGCTCATGGGTGATCGTGCATGTCTGGCCTACACGCCACACTCCCAGGTTATTGGCCACCTATGTAACCCATTGCCTGTGTTTTCGGCACTGTGATTTCCCTGACGCAAGCGGATCCAATGGGTTAAGAGAGAGTAAAGTTCAGCAGGAATAGGTTTGCCAGTAAGGTCAGCTAGGGTAGACAGTGTATGAGCTTGGGATGAGGGCGGGAAAAAGATGGGGTGGTGTAGAGTAGAGTTATGTGTGTTTAACTTATTACTTACACATACATATGTACATACATATATACATACATCTATATCCATCTATATTCATATCTATATTTTTATCTACCTATATCTATCTGCATATATCTATAATTATATATATATTTATATTCATCTATATCTAAACCTATCTATATTTATATATATATCTATATTCATGCATATATCGGCCTATATATGCATATATATGTATACATATCTATCTATCTATCTATCTATATATGCATTTACACATAATTATATATATATAGTCATATATATATATAAATATTATATATACACATATATATAGATATATACACACAATATAATATATATATATATATACATATTTATATACATGTTATTTATCATCATAAGGGGGGCGATGGCCATAGGGAGGCTTCACGGGGAGCCATCTTGGCCAGGGATTGTCTATTTCTCACGGCAGGTTTGACTTCCTCCACACGGTCCCCACCTGTCAGGGGAAACGAGGCTGGGCAGATCATCCTGAGGAAGCCAGGTGGCATTATAGCCAAGCGATCACGATTGTGAGATAACAGGTCCTGTGCCAGTCTCACGGTGCAACTGTTGGTTGGACACATGGTCCACAACCCCATGCTGGCGCAGATATTACAAAAGGCTTCAAGACAAGGCAGCACAGCTTACCCTTTCTGCACAGGTACCGACATCTCAAATACTCTTGTTGAGAGAGTTCTCTGCCCTGACTTCATGGTCTGATAGCCCAGAGTTATGAACTAACTACCAAGGTATGTAAAGCTCTCTGTGACTTCAATGTCCTCAGCACGTACCGACTGAACAGGTTCTCCTAACAAGTCCCCAAATTCCTGGGCCTTCGTCTTGGTCCAGACCTCTAGACCCAAGGGCTTTGCTTCATTGCTAGATGCATCGAGAGCCCCACTAGATTCCAAAGAGTCTGTAACCAATAGGCAAACCCTGTAAGTTTCCAGTGTGCATGTTGAAAAGTATCCAGTCTGCTGAAAGAGCTGGTGACACAACCTTGCCTCACTCCTGAGCTAACAGGAAAGAAGCTCGACAGGCCCCCACCACACTTTACAGCACTTTCAGTACCAGTATACAGGCTTGCAATTAGTCCAATCCTTGCTGGAATTCCTCTCAGCCTCAGGATCTCCAAAGTGACTGATGCATCAAATGAATGGTCGATGTAGGGTGCAAGCAGCACGCCCCCGAACTCACGGCAGCGCTCTACAATGACTCGAAGCGCGAGGATACAGTCTATTGTGGACTTACCAGGAGTGAATCCGGATTGCTCCAGTCTCTTATTTATATACATATATAAATATATTATATTATATATATATATATATATATATATATATATATATATATATATATATATATATTCACATATATATATATAATATATATATATATATATATATATATTATATATATATATATATATATATATATATATATATATATATATATATATATATATATATTATACTTACATACATCATTACAATTTTAAAGTGGCCCTCTACCTTGTAATGGATGACTGTGATGATTTTGTCACACTCATTCTAAATACCCATGTTTCTTCAAAACTAAAATATTTTTGCAATGTTTGCGATCCCTCCATATAGAATTTTTTCCATCACCATAGCATAATCTGGTGATAAAGGGTTAAGGGGGCTGCTGATACTGGGGGGAAAAAAAAAAAAGTATTTCAAACCTATACTCAACATCTTCCTATGCCATCTACAAATTATACCCTACCAATGTTTTGCTTTATTGAATACGGTGTAAATGTCTAGGGCAGTTTAAAGGGCCAAGGTCATCTGCATAAAAAACCAAGCAATTTTCGATCTACTGTGTTTGCAGAATAAAGGTGATTTTGCCAAATTTTTTTACATCAAATGGTAGAAAGATTGTCAAGCCACTGACATTGTTTCACAACTTGATAATGTAACGGTCGCAGTCTCACTGACATTTTAGTTGATATTTTTGTGATAGTACAGTTATTTTTACAATCACAAAAGGGAAAAAGAAAAGAAAAGAAAAGAAAAAAAAAAGACTACTAGAAAGCAACTTTGTATTGCTGGGAAAAAAACCCACCCTACTGCATCCTCCTCCTCCTTGTTGCTAGATTTTGCATTGCTCTCAATATGCGTACAATACATCATAAAACATTTTATAAATACCAAAAAGATATAATAGAAAGTAATTAAAAACAACAAATGAAGCTAGAAGTGTGCCACTGTTGATATGTTACAAAGGGGAGCTTAAAAAGATACTCCCAGTACTGATTATAAATAAAAAACTCTAAAAGCACAATTTTTGGTGTTTGGTGGTTGAGAAAGTGAAAGTGAGTAATCATTGAAATATAATACTGATATAAATTCTCACTATGATAACAAGTTAGACCGAAAATTCATGGATTTCTGGAAATAAAAAAATATGCATACACTATGTTGAATCTTTAGAAAGCTGTTTCTTTTTTTTTAACCTTTATTGAATTCGTAGATTGAGAATCATTACAATTTATTTGTGAATATCTGAGTATACTGGTTCATACATTAGTGAGGGACAAAGAAACAGATATCTTCAATATAAAGTGACGGAGTTATGAGTAAAATAAGACAGAGTCTGATACTACAGATGACATCCCACAAAAGCAACAAAATGATATAGTGGCATTCAGCAGTACAGGGGATATTTTTCACTTATAACTGCATACAGTCCTAAAGATATCATTAAGCTATTTGCTGCCAAAAAATAGGAAAAACCTGTTCATTATCAAGGTCAGTATATGTGATGAAACGACATGCTGTGAAATGACGTCACGACATCAGCGTTCTTAATCACATAAAATGTTGAAAACATATGTGTCTATTCATCTGGAACTTTCCAAGACTTCACTCCAAATAGTTTCGGTTTTAGCAGTGTCTCCAGCCCTCGTAATGATAAACTGTAAAACATTTTTTCTTTTTTAATGATCATCTGTTGTAATTAGTTACCATGCTCAACTGGCACTTTGTTTGGTGCTAAGAAAAACATAGTTGAAATCAACATTTCACCAGATAATGCATACCTAAATACCTACAAAGCGAAATGACTGGCCCTTTGCCATGCCACCCATTTATGCAAAAGACAGCATCCAATTCTCACCTTGAGTACAGTTTGGCTATTTTCTTCAGTAGACAGAGTGGTTGTAGTGGTGGTTAGAGTAGAAGAGGAGGTAGTGCCGTTGGTAGAGTCTCTGTGGTTGTTCTTTTCAGGGGGAGGGTCAAGTGGGCTCTTCCTCTCGACACGGATCCTTTTGCTAGGAGGCAAGGGAGGGGGCGGCGAGGGAGAGTGTTCTGGTGCTTCTGGGCGGGGAGGGCGCTCGCTGGGCTAGAGTCCCTGGTATGGGTAAGGCTCCCCTACTACGGACGCCCCCTGCTGGTGGGACCGGGCCCTGGGGTTGGAGCAGATAGGGGGAGGCAGGGGGGGGCAGGTGGGGCTGTCGGGGGTTGTTTTGTCTGGGGTGAGGTTGGGGCCTCTCTAGAATTGATGGTGCACCTAAGCCACCCATTGCTATGTTGCCCAACCCACTAAGGGAGGACTTCAGGGCTGATAAGGGAGATATGCTGTTTAACCCTCCCTGGAAAGAAAGAAAAAAGGATGAGTACAAGAGCAACACACAAAAATTAATTCTTCATTGCTTTTTTACACTTGTCCCCTAAATCATGTACATGTAAAAGAAAAAAAAAAATTCACCTAAACTATTACAGAATTATTCAGCCTATCAATAACCTGAAACACTGAAATAAAGTGACTAACATAGTCTACATAGTTGATAATACATATAAAAGATCCCACTAGCAGCTACTAATCTAATATTTTCTAATATTCCTAATCTTTTATGATGTGAATTAATTTGCATGGAAAAAGTAATGTCATTAATAAACGGGTCAACCAATGCACACTTTAAGACGATCACTCTTCAGGGCTGGAAAAAAAACGTTTTTCTTTAAACCCAACCCAATGTTTTTTGTGCGTTTGTTTTTTTGTGTCTATTCCAAATATCTAAATGTAAATCAGTTTAAATAAGCAATTAAAAAGTAATCTAAAGTGAAACAAAAGGTTTGAAGTGTTATCTGAAAGACAGCTACATGTTCAGGTCTGAATCAGTTAAATCCAGCCTTTCTTCAGACAAGTGGTGGCATGTAATGAACATGAAACAGAAAAAAAGTAGGAATAAATTGCCTGATGGATTTTGTTAATATTTAGGGCCTTGTATATTCATGTCCAAATAGTTCAGTTTCAATAGAAATATGGAATAAAGTGTGAAACAAATTGGGAAGTGAAAAAGTTGAGAAACTCGTGAAAACCTATAAACACATGAAAGGAGATCAAGATACAGAATGGTGAAATGTACTGCTACTGATGTCCAGTACTAAAATTTATGAAACGTTTTTTTTATCAACTGAAGGAAGTTTCTGTTCAGCTTTTCATTCCTTTAAAAATGTGGGAATTTTAGGAAAAGTGTTTTTATAAAGCAGAGGATAAAAAGATTTCTTCAGTTTTGATTAATGTGGGTGGGACTTGTGTCTGTGTCCTTCTTCTTAAGTTCATTGAGGAAAGAAATGAAATGATCTCACACTGAAGATATTAGAATTAAAAAGTTTGGCCAGATTAAAATTTAACATGGTGCTTCATTATCCTTTATATCAAAGGAAATACTAGAACAAGCAAATGAGACTAGGAATTTTTGCTTGAGATTAATAGAAAACCCCTGTTTGATGCAATCTTTAATTTGGGAAGATCTTTAAGGATTTTACATTTTCTATGTATATGTACATATATGGACCTTATCTATCAATATGACATAAAATTAAATTTTGATATGTAAAATATAAAGAAATAAATTAAAAAAACAGGAAATAAACACCTAGGTTGCCCTTTTCTGGTGTTCTTTTGTTTTTTTTACTGCCAAGCCTGCCACACCTGTGGGGGTCAGGGGTCATTTGGAGTGAGTTAGCCTATTCATACATGAATGAAGAAACTAATAAATGACTATGACTATTAGAGCTCATCTTTGGTTATTTCTTAGGAGCAGCAAGGGCATAAATGCTAACAGGTAAATTGCTGAAGTAGGTCATTATAGGTACACCTGTATGATTTTTACTTTTTATAAACATGCATTCTGGAAGCTATAGATTGCACCCTAGGTACATGGACAATGCACCCAATCCTCACATAATCATAATCAATCCTACAAACACTCCCAGCCCATACCCAATGGCCATTCTTTGAATTTGAATTTATCAGATCTATAAGGTAACTAATAATCTTTTTCTATACATAGAAGTGGATTTACTCCAATTACCTAAGAAGAGGGAGAGGGGAAGGCAGAGAGAGAGGGAAGGAAAGGGAGAGATTTCATCTTTACCCCTAGAGGAAGATACATGGTACTGTCATTTTCAGGTCTATACAAATACTGAATGCAACACTCTAAAAGCTATAACAAACAAAATTCACCCATGTCAATATCAACCTGATAGAGAGAGAGAGAGAGAGAGAGAGAGAGAGAGAGAGAGAGAGAGAGAGAGAGAGAGAGAGAGAGAGAGAGAGAGAGAGAGAGAGAGAGAAGGGGGAAGGGAGGGGGAGGGAGGGGAATGGGGGAGGAGGGGGAATGGCGGGAGGGAGAGGGGGAGAGGCACAGAGAGAGAGGATGAGAGGGAAATGCAGAGGAAGAGGAAGAAATATTGTGGAAAGGAGAGAAAGTGCTTTTATCTTTACCCCTAGAGATATATACATGGCATTGTCATTTTCAGGTATATACACATACTGGATAAACCACTAAAAGTTATAAACAAAATGTCCAATTCACCTATGTCAGAAATCAAAATTAAAACAACCTGATCAGAAATATCTTTGGTTGACAAAATTTATATACATAAATATACATATATTTGTATACATAATAAAGCTGCATTTTCGTAGTCTTGTATGTATACATACAAGATTGCCATCCCTTAACCCACTTACGACAGGTGTCAAACATACGTGACACCTGGAAAAATAAGCATTGTCCTGCCAGTGTGACGCTGAATCGGAGCTTGCGCTCCAATTCCACCACGGGCAGATTCCGGGCCAGCCCCGCACACTGATTCTGAAGCCACCCGGAAATCATTATTTTCAGTTTCAAAATATACTGTCACTAGTGGGTTAAGAGTTGAACAAATCCAAACCCTCTCCTTCCCCCCATCACTTCACTACCACATCTAGGGCAACCTGGACACCTAACACCTATCTAGTATTCTTTATGTGTATAAGTGAATATGTGAATGCATGTTACACATACCAGCAGATCACTATCAGCTGCAAGAGTTGATTGCTGATTGGTCTCAGACTATTGCTAAAGCTATAGTTGTCCCAACTCTACTACCCTAATCCAGTACCTGGGGCCAGATTCACTTACGCACTTACAATGGTAAAATCACTAGTAACTATATTTAACATGTTAAACAGACAGCAGTGGTATTCATTACCAACTTCTGGGAGGATAATATCCCATATTTACTAGTCCAAAAATCAATATCTACGGAAAGTTTTTGCTTTGTCTTTATACCTGATAAAATTAGTATGATGGCAAACAGACGTCACAATATGGATACGGCAAAGAAATGCAAATTTTACATGCAACTAACAAATATAAAATCCACCCAAATTCTCATCAATTTAGAAGTAGACATGGGCCTACATTAGACTGTAAAGTGCATGGAAAGGATATTAAAGTGAACTCTTAAAGAATTATCATTTTCTGAAAAAAACAAAAAACTACCTTCCTGATATATAAACAAACAATACCAATGTTAAACGAGTATAGCAACTGTTTCTGTCAGTATTTTGGTAAAGGAAAACAAACTCCAAACTGAATGGGCAAAAATGAGCTTGAAATATTTCCTTTATTTGATGAAAGATGGCGATGAATAAATACTGTTTACATCGGTTTTTGTTTGAACTGTTTCTTTGGTTTGTGGTAAACAATGATATACTAATATAACAGTGTTTGTACTGGTTCCTATTTATATAATAGATGGTCAGGAAAGTCTATTGACATTCCACATGATGGATATAATTATATAAATCTTATTTTTTTTCCTTCATTTGCTTAAATGGTGTTTTAGTTGTACCAATGATTCTTAAAATATCACTGTCTAGTTCTGTTTACAAGTTATGTGATTGGCTGAAGGAATATAAAAATTATGCATGGCATTTGCTGATTAGTGGAAATATTTTACTAGATCCCTCTCTTGCCTACCATTAAAAGGAGTCGATATATGATTGTAACTCAGTCAATGCTGGTTACTATTTGTTTGTGAAGCCCACTTTGTCATTACTGCTAAAAACAATGGTAAATAACCACTGGTAAATGCATATTGATCGTATGTTAGTGAATCCAGCCCCTGGCTCTTTCCTAAAACTACACTAATCGTAATCTCACCTGCTCTTTGCGTTCATCAGAGGACTCGGCTAGGCCCCTGATCTTAAGGGCTTCGGCAGTGTGTAAGAAGGCACCCAGCTGAACTTGTGAAATGTTCACTTCCCCTGCATACATGAACTCCAGTAAGCTCCTCATGTGTGTATATGCAACGTCACGTAGAATTATGATTGGATGCGTGCATGGATTCCCCTAGAAAGGAAAAAGCAAAAGGTCAAATGGTTTGCATCTGCAGAGCATATCAAATTGACTAATAAAGAGAAACAGAGACAAAGAGAAATACTGAAGATATACAAACACATGCACACACACACATACATGTGCACGCACACATCTGCATACATACATGCACGCATGCTCACACACACATACATATAGACACAACTGCATACACACATGCACAAATGCTCACACACATACATATGCACAAACACATCCACAAAAATACAAAAGTACACACAAAATTAAACAAGCACATGCATAAGCATACATACATACACATACACACAATTAAACAAGCACATGCACAAGTACACACACACACACACACACACACACACACACACACACACACACACACACACACACACACACACACACACACACAACACACACACACACACACACACGTGCATGCAACCCCCCCCCCCCCACACACACACAAACACACAAGTGCACCTGCAGACCTACACAAAATTGCCATACCCACACACACAAGTACACCCTAAAACAAACACAATGCACATACATATTTGTACATTTTAATGTACATGTATATATATAAAATAAATATATATATATATATATATATATATATATATATATATATTATATATATATATATATATATATATGTATATATATGTATATGTATACGTATAATATATATATATATATATATATATATATATATATATATATAATATATATATATATATATATATATATATATATATATATATATATACATATATATATATGTATAGGTGTATGTGTATATATAAATAAATAACTTGACCTCTGTGACCATGATACAAACCAGGGTCTTTGCAGGCAGGTAATTGCAAGACAGATGTTCTACCAACTGAGCTACACAACCCACTAAAAGAAATGAGCAACTAGGAGCTATCTAGCTTCCATAGACATTACCTATCTACTCATACTTGAGTAAGGATAGCGAAGATGGAATAATACACTACCGCACTGATATGATGAATATACATATACATGTAAACAATAATAATATATATTAATATATATATATATATATATATATATATATATATATATATATATGTAAACACTACACATGCATACATAAATATATATGCATGTGTGTGTGTGTGAATACATAAATTATATTATATATATATATATATATATATATATATATATATATATATTATATATATAATATATAATAATATATATATATATATATGTAAATATTTGTAATATATATATTTATATGTATGTATGTATGTAGTATGTATGTATATATATATTATATAATATATATATATATATATAGAGAGAGAGAGAGAGAGAGAGAGAGAGAGAGAGAGAGAGAGAGAGAGAGACAGAGAGAGAACAAAAGAGAGAGAAGGAAAATTGAGTTGGAAAGAGGGACATAGGGGAAGAGAGACACAGGGAAAGAAGGAAAGTAGAACAGAGAGATAGACTGATTGATATACAAAGAAAAAAGAGGAAGGAAAAATATAAGAAAAAAAGGGGGAAAGGGGGAGGAAAAGGAAGAAAAAGGAGGAAGTAGTAAAAGAATGAAAACAAAGGAAGAAGAAATGAAAAAGGTGGAAGAGTAGAAAAAAGGAAAAAAAGGGGGATAAAAAGGGAGATGGAAAAAAGGGACTAAAAAGGGGGGGGGAAGAAAAATGAGGAATATAGAAAAAATGTGATAAAAATATATAAAAAGGAGGAAAAGTAAGAAAAAAAGAGGAAAAAGAAATGAGGAGGGAAAAAAGGAGTCAAGGAGCAAGATGAGGAGGGAAAAAAGGAGTCAAGGAGAAAACACAAGGGAAAAGAAGGTGAAGAAAAATGAGGAAGAGGAAAAATGAGAAAGGAAAATAGAAGAGGAAAAATGAGGAAATGGAAAATAAAGGAAGCAGGAAAATGAGGAAAAGGAAAATAGAAGAGGAAAAATAGGGATGATGAAGAAAATGAAAGAGGAAATAGAAAACTTGGAAAAATGAAAAAGAGGAAACAGAAAGGAAGGGAATTGAAAAGGCAGAAGAAACAGGATGATGAGGGGATAATAAGGAAAAGGAATGAGAGGATAAATAACAGAAAGGAAAAGGGAGCAAATAAAAAGGAAGAGAGGAGGAAATGGGAAAGAAGAAATGGGAAGAGGATGAAAAGGAAAAAATTGGGAAGAGAGAAAAATAGGAAAAAGGAAGAGGAAAAAAAGGGGGAAACAAAGGAAGAGGAAAAAGTGGAGAGGGAAAAAAGAGGGGAAAAGTAACAAAAGGAAGAGGAAAATATTAGAGGAAAAGGAAAAATTAAAGGGAAAAAGCAGATAAACCAAGAAAGGGGGGGAAGACGAAAAAAGAAGGGAGGAAAAATAAGGAAAAAAGAAAGAATGAAAAAAGGATGAACAAGAGAAACAAGAAATGAAGAATAGAAGGAATAGGAGAAAGGGAGGATGATGAAAGAGGAAATAAATGGGAGAGTAGAAAGAGGAAGGAAAAATTATGAATAGGATAGAGGAAGAAAAAGGAAAGGACAGGAGAAAGGGGAGGCAGAAAAAAAAAAAATCAGAAAAAAAAGAAAGAAAGACAGATGGCAAAACCAGAAAAGAAGACACAAATACAAATTAGACTTTACAGAACAAAAAACGAGTCTCTGCCACACACTCCATGCCTCTCACTCACCTGTAATAGCTCCTTAAAGTAAGGGCTGCACGCTGAGAGGACGACCTTGTGGGCCTTGAGCTGCTGGCCATCACATGCCAAGGTTACATCCACGAAGTGCTCCCCCTCCCGCAAGGTTTCAAACTCCGCTGTTATGTTGGTGCGGTAGTTATTCCACCGCAAGCAGAAGTGTTGTTCCACCATCTGAAAGACAAAAAGTACCAATGAAAAAACATGGCTAAAAATAAGAATTATCAACAGAATATTAATCATAACATATATGACAACAAATGACAGATATCAACCTAATACCATCATCCAATCCTATTACTATCCACGACTTATGAAGCAATCATCACAACATATCAATTTCTCGTAAATAAGAATAGAGTTGGAAGTGCAGATTCTACCTTTGGTTTTCTCTGAGTTAAATGACAAAGCCTCTGATATCCATTTAAAAAATTATAAATATTTTCACTAAAGAATAAATAAATAAAACATCTACATAGCAATAAATGTACAATTACTGGCTCAAAAACAAAAAGCTGTAAAATAACCATATAAAGAATTAG